TGGAAATTAGAGTAGGAGTGAGGGTAAGAGAGGGAGGAAGAGAGGAGGAGAAGGAGAAAGGAAGAGGAAGTAGGGAGGAGAAAAAGAGGGTGGGGGGAAGAGAAAGTAAGAAGGAAAGAAAAGAGAGTGGTGGTAGGTTTGAGGAGAAAGATTGCTGTACAATAAAAAAGATGAAAGGGAAGAAAGCCAACCCCAAGCAAATATAAAGATATTAAGATTAAGAATGAATTGTTAAACTTTAAAGAATAAAAGAGAACAAATATGAATAAATAGCAATAATTAGAAACACACATACAAACATACAATGTATTTTCTTTGAACAGAATATTTGGCTGGTTCACAAATTTAAACAGCGTTTAGTCATTTCAATTAAATTTACAATTTCTATATTTCCTTTTTGCCATATTTATTCCTCATCTATTTTTTTAAAAAAACAATATTACCCTTCATCCTCATCTCTAATCTTAATCAAATTCAATTTTTCCCTTCTATTCTATATTATACCCTTTCCCATTGTCATCTATTTTTTATCCATCCTCACATTGGTTAATTATGTAATTATGTAATACAGTTGTTTAATACAAATTCAACATTTTAATATAAATCAATTAGTTATATAACTATCTTCTTTGTATATTAATCAATATGAACATGAATATTCCAATTATTTCCATGCAATCCAATTTCTTACAAATCAATTAATTATATTTACCAATAATAATAAACCAAATAATTTCCCCCATATATTCCTCCAAACCACAACTTAACCATTTCTGCTTTCAACACAATATACAATTATTAATAGTATCTCAATTATTACAATTCCCTAGTTAAATAGAGCTTTTTTTCTTTTGTGTTTTAAAATCTTGAACTCTCCTCTTTTGCCCAAAATTTCCCATTGTTTGCAGTTTTGTACCTACCTTTTTTGGTGAGGAAAAAGAAAAAGAAAGAAATCTCTCTCTGCCTCATTTTGTCATGTTGCAGCTTTACTTTCGCTTTCGCCTTTGTTTTCAGCATAGCTAGAGGGGGAAAAATCTGCTCCAGGAACTTTTTGCAGCTTTTTGCAGCTTTTTGCAGCTAATTAACCTAGCGGAAGCTGTTAACAGGGGCTGTTTTTTCTATTTTTGCAGGCATGGGTCTACTCATTTTTTTTTAACACTGATCAGCTGTAGGTCGGCCCTTTGAAGCCCCGCGGCAAGAGTTTAAAGAGTTTTTTTTCCCTCTAGCCATCAGTGGGGATTCAGGAGGCAGCCAGGACTCAGGAGGCAGAATGAAAAATCGGGACTTTTTTAAAACGCCGCGGGACACGGGACAAATTGCTCAAAAGCGGGACTGTCCCGCCAAAAGCGGGACGTCTGGTCACCTTATCTTATGAGCTTTTGGACTCATGCTGGAGCCCATGTTCAGGGAACATCTTTGTTAGATTGGGCGATAGAAGAGGCAAGATGCTGATTCAGTTAACTAACAACAGCTCTTTATTCAAGTAGATCGGTACAACCCAGCAACTTGACTCTCTGACAGCTTGCCCTTTTATAGGGAGCTGTCAGACGGCTCAACCAATAAGATTCAACTATTTTTCCTACTATTATGGTGGATTTGAATGAAGCCTACGTTCATAGGCTTCATTCCTTATTAGAGTATGCAACAGCCCTCCCCACCAGGATACAGTGTTGTCCAATCAGTAACTAGCTTAGTTGACATAATCACGCAGGTAGGCAGGGCATCGGTGAATCCGCGCAATTCAATTGGAGCAGCAGTGGCAGCCTGGTCTGTCGGATCTGCTGCTGCTCCTGTGTCCGCCAACAGAATTGTCTAAAAACTGCCCCTAGGCATGGCTGACTCGTTTGGATTTGGCCCTCTGAGAGTTCCTCACTGGATTCTTGGTTCCTTAGGTGCATGACTTCGTTGAATACTCGAGCTTGATTTTACTTTAGTGGTGTTTCGGTTTATTGGCTAGTGTCTATAGGGACTTGGTGTTTGTTGGTTTGAGCTATTTCTGGTTGCCTTAGAACTGAGATTCCTAAGTGGTCCCAGAGTTGGTCTATGTGCCTTCTCCATAGCCTCCCATCCTCTAGTTCTACTCTGTATTAGCAAGGTCCTGTTATTTATATCACCTTGTCAGGGACCCAGAGAGCACCCTTGGCATAGTTATGGGCATACACTATGTCCACTATGCTGAATGACCGGATCTTGCTGGTTGAGTCGGTGGGTGCTTCAGCAGTGTAATTTGGGTGTAGTCTGTCTAATTGTGATCGTACCTGGCAGCCCATCAGTAATTCTAACAGGCTCCTGTTTGTTGTGGCGCTAGGGGTAATGTGCTGGACTAGGATAAATTTGTCAATTCTGGCTTGCCAATCTCCTGGGCCCATTCTGGATAGGGCTTCTTTTGCGGATAGCACCATTCTTTCCGCTTGCCCATTGCTGGTCAGATGGAATGATGCAACTCGGGCATGTCTGATTCCCTATTCTGCTAAGAACATTTCAAATTGAGTGGCTGTGAATTGGGGCCCATTGTCTGAGACCAGCAGGTCTGGCAGACCATGGGTGGAGAAAAGTCTCCGTAATACTTTGATGATCACCTCTGCTGTTGTAGAGGTCATAAATATAATCTCAAGCCACTTTGAGTATGCGTCCACAACTGTTAGGAATGTTTGGCCTTTGAATGGCCCAGCAAAATCAATGTGTACCCTTGACCAGGGTGCTTTTGGCATTTCCCATTCATGCACTGGGGCAGAGAGAGGTGGCGGTCTGGACTCCTGACAAGATGTACAGGTAGCAACCCATTTGGCTATTTCCCCATCCATATTAGGCCACCAAACATAGCTCTTGGCCAACGCCTTCATCCTGACTATTCCAGGATGTTCCACATGTAAGACCTCTAGCCCTGGCTTTCTTAATTTTGGGGGTACAATTACCTGGTCCCCCACAATAGACAACCTTTAATAGCAAATAATTTGTGTTGCTGAACATAAAACAGTTGCAGATCAACCCCCATTGGTCCCTTTGGCCTTTTCTCCATACCCAGTTCAAAACTTGTGACAAAGTTTTATTATTGGACGAATGTCTCGCTATCTCAGCCGATGTAATAGGGTCGGAAGTAAAGTCCTCGATTAACAGTATAGGTGCGATGGGGGCAGGTTCCTCTACAAGTTCTGGCGGCAGGCATCAGCTGAGGGTGTCTGTGTGGCCCAGGGATTTGCCAGGCTGGTGGATCAGCCGGTACTTGTAGGCTGCCAAGAAAATTGTCCATCTTGTCATTTTCGGCAATAAGACGGTTGGGGTGGGGTGGTCCCCAGCCAGCAGTCCCAGAAGCGGTTTGTGATCGGTTATCAGTTCAAAGTCTCTACCATAGAGATACTCTTGGAACCGCTTGACCCTCGCTACTGCAGCCAGTGCCTCTCTGTAGAGCTGGCTGTAGTTTCACTCGGCTGCAGATAGAATCCTGGAGTAAAAGGCAATTGGCGCCTTGGTCCTGTTAGGCATTCAGTGGCTGAGGACAGCCCCAACACCAAACAGGGAAGTGTCACAAGTCAGAATGACGGGTAGAGTCTCATTGTATTGAATTAGAATGCTGTCAGAAGACAAAAGTCTTTTTACTTCAGCAAATGTGGTGGCTTCAGCCTGGCCCCAGATCCATGGCATCATTGACTGGCAATTGCTGGTATGCTTGTGCCAGGTTGAGTTTCGCAAAGATTTTCCCCCTTCCCAGGGAATGTAATAAGTGTTGTACTACTGATGTGGGATAGGTGCTCTGCTGAAGCGCCTTGTTGATCATACATTTGTAGTTCACACAGATGTGAACTGAGCTGTCAGATTTTTATCGGTGTGACTATAGGTTTTCCCATTTAGCATGGTCTCCTGGCTGCAGAACACCCTGGCCAATTAGCTTGTCTAATTCGCTGTCAATTTTGGGCCAGAGGGCAAAAGGGACCCTTTGTGGTTTCCTCTGAATAGGGGTAACTTTTTGGTCTAGGCTGAAAAAGATGGGCATCCCCACATACTTGCCCAGGCTCCCATTGAACACGTCCTCAAACTCCTTGACCAGCTCGTTAGCGCTGTTATCTTGGATGGTGTGGATGCCATCACCCCCATGCCCAGGGCCGTGAACCAGTCCAAGCCGAGCAGGTTTGGCAGTGCGCTGCCAATCACGGTTATCTTCAGTGGTCTGACAATTTTTTAAAATTTGATTTGAAAGGTCCCCCTCCCTATGACGGGGATGTGGTTCCCTTGATAGTCTTTAAGTTGCACTTTTTGGGGTTTCAGGTGCTTTTTTTCAATTCCTGGTACTGCCTTCTTGATGGTCTCCCAGGAGACTATGGTCAGGGATGACCCTATGTCTATCTCCATGTCACACAGTGAAGAGGGGGGGGGGAGAGAGAGAGATCCAATTCAATCTCGGAATTATATCAGGGCTGGTGGTGGTGTGCTCTCTCTCTCACACACACACACACAGACACAGACACAGACACAGACACACCTATACACAGGTTGCCTCTTTCTTTCCTCCCTCCCGCCCCCCCACTGGAGACCCTTGGATTTCATCCCCAATCCTGCCTGTCTCATATAGGCACCACCCACATGAGTGACATAGAGTTGGCCAGGCCCACCCAGTCACATGATCGCCCCCCCTTAGCAATTCCCACCTGGTCATTAGGAAGAACTGGTTGTTAAATTATTTGAATCCCACCACTGGTAGTAAAACTTTATTTTAAACTTATTCAAGTTAAATTGCTGGGTTGGCATTTTGTGATAAATAAGTGGGTTTTAGATTGGAGTTTGGGCACTCGGTCCCTAAAAGGTTTGCCATCACTGCTATAGACAATACAGCAAAGGGTGGACTTCCGGGATGTGGCTGCCTGCCACTGGCGTGGAAGCTCCTCAGGGTGCGCGTGGGCCGGAGGTTGAGAGGGCTGGTCCAGAAGACCTTGCAAATTCTGTGTGGTGCTGGGAAACAGTTTAGAAGAGTCCAGAGCTAGGGACCTGGCCACAGTTTCCCAGCCATGTCAATGGGTGCCAGAGGCTCAAAGCCTCTCAATGCTATCTGCCAGGTGACTTCGATGCCGGATAGAGAACACAACTGGACGACTTGTTCACAGCTGGTCCGAGAGGCAACTCGGAGGGATGCTTGCATTGTCTTCCTCCCGGAAGCCTTTGACTTCATTGGCAGTTACATGGAAGAGACCCTCAGCTTGGCAGAGCCCTTGGAGGGGGATTATCTTCAGCGCTATGTCAGCCTGGCCAGGGAGTGGGCAGTGTGGCTGTCCCTTGGAGGTTTCCACGAGAGGGGCAAAGACTGGGAAAGCACGCAATGGATCTACAACTGCCACCTTCTTGTGGATCCCAAAGGGTGTGTTGTGGCTACTTATCGGAAGATCCACCTGTTTGATGTGGAGCTGGAAGGGAGGGTCTCTCTGAAGGAAAGCACCTTTACCAACCCCGGCTCAGAGATAGTGCCACCTGTGCCCACCCCGGCTGGAAAGGTGGGGCTGGCCATCTGCTATGATCTCCGTTTCCCAGAAATGTCCCTGGCTCTGGCCCAGGCGGGGGCCGAGATCGAACATTGCTTACCTGAACGTTCCTTCTCGGCACGCTTATGGAGAATCCAAAGCGTGGGTAATGTTCACGTTGAGCTTGTCAGAGACTGAGTGTATCACTTTAAATTTTCTGCCTCGGTTCCGCCTCCTCTGCTCGACTAGTGTCAGTTTAGTTCACGAACAACAGGAAAGAAGCAGACGGAAGTCCCAAGTCAACAAAACCCCGGACCTGAATGCGTAAGGTAGGGAGGGTTGGATTCTCCATCAGCGTGCCAAGAAGGAACGTTCAGGTAAGCAACGTTAGTTCTCCAGCGCGCTACTTGGAGAATCCAAAGCGTGGGATATACCCAAGCAAGTTAGTCGGGGGGGGGGGTTTCCAGGTCCGGAAGAGGCACTGGAGCAGCGACTGACTGTAAAACCCGTCGGCCAAAGGAGGCATCAGCAGCCGCAAAGGCATCGATCTTATAATATCTAATGAACGGTGATAAGGTGGTCCAGGTGGCTGCTTTACAAATCTCCGAAACCGAGGCTTGAGTTGCCCATGCAGCTGAAGTGGAGGCACTCCTGGTAGAATGAGGAAGCACTTTGCCTGGAGGAGGCTTGCCTGATGCGGAGTAGGCCTTACAGATACAGGCTTTTAACCATCGACCGATCGTAGTAGACGAAACTTTTTGGCCCAGAGATGCCGGGAGAAAAGAAACGAAGAGAGCTTCAGAACGACGGAATGCCGAGGTCCTCTTGATGTATCTTGAGCCCTCCGAACATCAAGGGTGTGCCACTGGTCCTCCAACGGGTGTCTAGGGTCCGGACAAAAATCCGGAAGGACCAGTTCCTGCACGCGGTGGAAAATCGAATTGACTTTTGGGAGGAAGGATGGATCCATCCTGAGCACGACTCGATTAGAATGGAATATACACAAATCCTCTCGAACTGACAGGGCAGCCAATTCAGATATCCATCGAGCTGATGTCACCGCAATTAGGAACACGACCTTAAGGGTCAAGAAGCGTAGATCAACGGATCCCAAGGGCTCAAAGGGAGGAGCCATGAGGGCCCGAAGAACCAGCGGCAGATCCCAGGAAGGATATCGATGGATACATGGAGGGCGGAGATTAGATGCGCCCCTCAAAAAGGATCGAATATGTCGATTGCAAGAAAGTGGTACATCCGAGTCAGCAGAAAGGATGGTATCCAAGGCAGCTACATGTCTGCGGAGGGTGTTAGCCGTAAGACCTTTGTCGAACCCAGCATGTAGAAACTCCAACACTTCGGAGATCAAAGCAGAAGTGGGATCAGAATGTCTGGCGATGCACCAGGTCGAGAAGGATCGCCAGGTGGCATTGTAAATCCTGGTTGTGGAAGGCCACCTGGAGGCCTGGATAACAGAAACAACCCCTCTGGACAAGTTGTCCTTGGTCAGGAGGATCCTCTCAAATGCCAGACGGTCAACTGCAACCATTGAGGATCTGGATGCAGTATGACCCCCTGGCTGAGAGAAATCCTGTGGTCCGGAATCCGCCACGGGGTGGCCACCGATAGGTCCACCAGGTCGGCGAACCAGGGTCTGCGCGGCCAGTGGGGGGCGACCAGAAGGACATCCGCTCGTTCCAGCAGAATTTTCCGGATCACCCTCGGCAGGAGTGGGAGCGGGGGAAAGGCATAGAGAAGTCCCCGTGGCCAGGGGCACAGAAGGGCATTGGTGCCCTCTGCCATGGGACAATGGAACCAGGAGAAAAATCTGTGCATTGGTCGGATGAGCAAAAGGTCGAGAATGGGACGGCCAAATCTGATGGACATCTCCTGGAATAGGGATGGATGGAGGCGCCACTCGGCATGGTTGATCTGCTGACGGCTCAGCCAATCCGCCTGGCAGTTGTCGGTCCCGGATATGTGGTCCACCATCAACGACCGAGTGTGCAGTTCCACCCAAGTTAACAGCCTGGTCGCTTCCGCCATGAGGGGAGCTGATCGAGTTCCTCCCTCGCGATTTACGTGCACTTTTGCCGTCACATTGTCCGTGAGAATGCGGACGTGTTGGTCTTCCAATAGAGGCTGGAAGTGCGACAGCGCTAGTCTGATTGCGTGAAGCTCCAGCCAGTTGATGTCATTGGCTGCTTCTGCTGGAGACCATCGATCTTGCATGACCTGGTTCTGAAGGTGGGCACCCCAGCCCATCAGGCTCGTGTCTCTGGTCACTGTCACACGTGGGGGGCTTTGAAACGAACACCCGGAGAGCACGGATGGCGAGGTCCACCAAAGTAGGGAATCGCAAACTGACTGAGGTAGCCGGACCCGAGACCTGGAGTTGCTGCGATGTGCCTTCTGAAAGGGTAGCAGGTACCATTGCAAAGGTCTGGAGTGGAACCTGGCCCAAGGAACGATGAAGATGCAGGAAATCCTTTTTCCCAAAAGAGTGGACAGGAGCAGCAACGGCACCCGGGTCATCGACAGAACCTGAAGGACCAGGGAACGAATGCTGAGGCGGCGATCCTCTGCAGAAAAACCATACCCAGCTGAGAGTCCAGGATGGCCCCAAGATGTATAATCTGAGTAGTGGGATGAAGATGGCTCTTTTTCTCGTTCAGCGTGAAGCCATGCAACCAAAGAGTGGCAATTATCAACTCGAGATCCTTCAGGGTGAGGTCGGGCATCGACGAAAGGATGAGGATGTTGTCGAGGTAACAATAAATCCGGATGGGTACCAGTCGGAGAGAGGCTGCCACGGCAGCCAACACCTTGGTAAAGACTCGCAGGGCCGACGACAGGCTGAAGGGCATTGCCCGGTATTGGAAATGCTGGCCGTTGTAGGTGAAGTGCAGGAAGCGACGATGTGCTGCATGGATTGGAATGTGCAGGTACGCTTCCTTCAAGTCGATGGAAGTCATCAGATCCCCGAGTCGAATACAGTCCACAATCGATCATAGCGTCTGCATTTTGAATTGACGATACGTGATGAACTGGTTGAGTGCCTTCAGATCCAGGATTCCTCTCCAGCCCCCAGAATTTTTGGCCACCAGGAAAAAGACGGAGTAGAAGCCGGTCCCGTGATAACAAGGGGGGACCGCCTCTATGGCTTGAATGTCCAGGAGATGTTGAATCTCCATCTCAAACAAGTCCCGTTTCGTTGGGTTGGATGGGATGGGGCACCTGATGAATCATGGAGGGGGGAGAGAACCGAATTCTAGGGTGAGGCCCAAGCCGATGGTCTGGCAGACCCAGGCATCCGTGGTGGTACACTCCCATTGTTCCGCGAAGAGGTGAAGGCGGCTGCCAATGGGAGCCGAATGGTGGGTGTCACTTTCCCCTCCGGAAGGGGCGGTTGCCTGAGCCCCTGGAGGGCTTCCTGAAGGAAGACTGTCGATGGCCGCGGTCCCGAAAGCTAGACCTGTCAGGTGGTCTGTAGAATCCCTGAGAGGATGATCGGAACTAGTAGGACCCACTGGTCCCGGACTCCCTCCAAAAGGGCAGCCGTTGAGGGTATGGCGAATAGCGACGATCTCCCCACCGGAAGGAGGTTGGCATCACCTTTCGCTTGTCTTTATCCTCAACGAGGATGGGGTCAAGCGCATCACCAAATAAGTTCAACCCTTTGAAGGGAACGGAAGTCAGCTGCCATTTGGACTTGTTATCCGCCTTCCATTGTTGTAACCACAGGAGGCGGCGCGAGGCAACAGTTGTGGCAAGAGATCGAGAGGCAAATTTGGTGGTGTCCAGGGATGCATCAGTGGAAAATTCCGTGGCTGCGACGATTTTATTAATATCCTGGTGTAAACACTTATCGTCCTGAGGAAGGTGGTCCTGTAACTGTCTGAGCCATATGATAGAGGCCCGATTGAAAAAGGACGCCGATGTTGCTGCCCTGATCACCCATGCTGCCGCCTGGTGATTCTTGCGCAGGAGGACCTCCGCCCAATGGTCCTCAGTCCTCAGTCCGTCCACCACATCGCCAGTGAGAATGGAGGATGCCATTAGGTGAGCGACTGGGGCGTCCACAGATGGCAGTTGTAGCATCTCCTTAAGGTTAGGAGCAGCACAGTAAAACTTCCGTTCCAGGCCGTTAGGCACTGGCAAGGAAGCTGGCAGACCCCAGGGTCTCTTGATGACTTCCGAAAATAGTTGAGGACATGGAATCACATCCTGAGCTGTTGTCTGAACAGTGAATAGACCGTCAGAAGGGAGCGACGACGAAGATGCTACTTGTTGTTCAGGAGGATCCGCCAAATTAGTGGACGAAAGCCGGGCGAAAGAGACAAGTGACTGGAGTTCTATCTGGCATGAGGCTGTCGGTCTCTGAAAACTCCGAATCTCGAAGTTCATCGTCCTCCCAGTTTGAGTCCTCACTGTGGGCAGAGTCTTGATAAGAGTCGTAATCATGATAACGGCTGGAGACATTTGCTGTTGGATTCTGGGTATGATGGTGTGAACCCAGAACAGGGGCCAAAGGCCAGGCGCCCGAAGCCATGAGGTTAGAGATGGTGGCCGCCACAATGGATTGAACATCCATCGGTGAATCAGAACGGGAGTCCTCCCCTTGTCTGAGACCGGCTGCTGTCGGGGTATAAGTAGATGACGGAGCGGCCCGGGGATGGGATCGATGACCAGTTGATCCTGATGGAAGATGGGAGGTCACGGAAGTGTCTCCGCTCGGAGCAGTTGATAAACCAGGTTTCCCCGAACTGGGTTGGGTTTCGGTGACAATCTGAGGTTGCGAGTCAGAGGTGGTAGTGTGGTCTGCTGGAGATGAAATGAGATCAGCTGCCAAGGCCTTCTGCTGCGCCATGAGGAATTGGCGTTCTAAGGCCCTATGACGCCGCTGTTCCTCCTTGCTGGACGAAGGGCCACAAGTGGAGGGTTGTTGTGAAGAAGGTGGAGGGGCAGAAGCTGCCCGTGGAGGACGTTTTGACCTTGACTTATTTCATTTTTTTACAGGCACTGGATCAACCACAGGTGGAACATCGGAGACCTCTGAGTCGGAGGACAGCTCGAGGTCCGCCATGGTAACTCGGAATTGAAGATGGCGATAGAACGTAGGTAATAAACTATCAACTAATTGACTTTTTTTTTTTGGAGCAGAAACGAGAAAGGGGAGGAGCTTAAGTACAGGTGAATATGGTTCGGCGTTCCAGGTAAGTCATTGAACTTGGAGGGACCAATGTCCTATCACCAGCCAATGCAGGCGTAAGGAGAATGACCGCAGCTGTCTGGGATGGCAAAAGAACAGGACTGCTGCAAAAACGCTCCGAAGGTAGCCAGCAGATGATATCCTGCACTGCCCAGATCCACTGCAATTAATTTGGAACTTGGGGCTGTGGCGACGGAGACCGGCGATAGTCACAAAATGGCGGGCGGCTCAGATTTCAAAATGGCGGCCCGTTGTATAATTTAAAATGACGGCCGTCTGTAGTTCAGATGGAAGGCCGGGTGTAGTCCACAATGGCGGTTCGTTTAAATCAACGGAGCTCGGTGGCGGTTAGGGAGAGAGCAGGCAGGGTGGTAAAGAACAGCTGGGGCGATGCCACAAAGGGTCGATCAGCCACCGGGTGAATAATAAACCGCAGTTCGGGTACAATCCAGACAGCAGAAGCCTCGTTGTCCAGGAGGCAAGTAGGCCGAAGACAAAGATGGCAGCGGGCGGGAATCAGGCAGCCTACGCTCCGGCACCGTACTGAGGAAGCGGGCTGACAGCAAGTAATCTCGGGGCGATGCCACGGGGGGTCGATCGGCCACCGATAACTATGGCGCAGGGCACAATCTGGCGGTCGCTCAGGCGATTCCGCTCCAGAAGCCCGGTATCGATAGAATAGACGGCAAGGATCACATTCAATCAGGAACGCAGGCAAGGCGTAGGCGGCAAGCGAGATGCGGGAAATACAAAGGGGACAGCCGCTGAAGATGCTAGCAAGGCAACAAGCTTCAGGCTAGACGTCTTATTAAATTCCTGAATAGGTAATTTGTCAAATAGTTCAGCAGGTGAGGCACAAGCCTCCGAGGAGGGCAGGGAGCCCAGGGAAAACTCACCCAACCCTCACAAGTCCAGAATAGTCCAATTGAAAATCGTTGAAATAAGTCAATAGAAGAAAGGGAATAATGGAGAAAAATCCAAAGCGTGGAGAATGAAGAACAATGAGGTTGTCAGAGCAAGCCAAAGGTTCAGTCTCTTCCACTCGACTGAGTGAACTAAACTGACACTAGTCGAGCAGAGGAGGCGGAACCGAGGCAGAAAATTTAAAGTGATACACTCAGTCTCTGACAAGTTCAACATGAACATTACCCACGCTTTGGATTCTCCAAGCAGCGCGCTGGAGAACCTCACCTACCCATCAGCCTTCACTGCGACAACCGGTGCTGCCCACTGGGAGGTCCTGCTGCGAACCTGTACCATAGAGACCCAGTGCTATGTGGTGGCCGCGGCCCAGACTGGCCAGCACCACCCACGCTGCACCTCCTTCGGCCACAGCATGGTGGTGGACCCTTGGGGCAGCATCGTGGCCCAGTGCCAGGAGGGGCCCAGCCTCTGCTATGCCGAAATCGACCTGACCTACCTGCATCACCTCCACCAGGAGATGCCCGTCTTTGCCCACCGCCAGCCTCGCCTCTATGGCCGGGCAGCTGCTGAATGGGGCTTTGCGCCCCCTTGATGGGCTCAGCTGCCCCACGGAGGGGGCTTGGCTGCTGCAGCTGGACTCTGCCGGGGCTCTGGCCCTCCAGTAGCTGCTGTCCAGAGAGGCCAAGAGAAAATGGGAAGGAGAGAAATAGAATGCAGACAACTTCTGAGATGGGGAGGGAGGCATTTCAACACAATTCCCCCTCCTGGGAGCATCCGATGTTTGGTTTTGGCTACTCAGACATTTGGGGTTCAGACTGGCGTGGGGTCCAGTCGGTCACTTTCCCTCGAGAGGGCCTCCATTCCTGAAATAAATTTGTATTTCAGCCAAAAAAAAAAAAAAAAGACAATACAGCAAAGGAAAATTTTGTCCTTCCTCATGCTTTCTTCATAATCTATTTTATATTAGTTTTCTATTAGGGTCGGTTTTTATTTTTGTTTTGCATATGTGTGTGATTTTTGCAGTCAAATTTCCTATAACTGATACTAAGACGCTTGTCTGATTTGTCTCCTTCAATTTTATATTTAAGATCTATGTATAAATTCCAGCCATTTTCAGAAAAAGATGCAGACAAGGAAAACCTAAGGAGCATTTTAAAAGGCAAACGCATTTTATTGTACTTGCCTTCATTTGGTATTTTACTCTCTGTTATGGCTCTATTTTGTTTCTAAGAGCCTAAGTAAAAATCCAAGGAATCAGTGCAGTGCATATAATTTGCATATTTGTTAGCATCTCCCTTCTTGAATACAAGTATATATAATAATCCAATAGCCATTAACACTTTAATGACTTTTACTGTAGTTTATATCGTTTAATGGATATTCCTATCTACACCTTGTGTTTTTAATTTGATAGCTGATCAACTGTTCATGTAACTTTCTATCTAGTAGAGTAGTCTCTCTATACATTCTTATTTTATAATCTCGCTTATAAAAGATTTTAATAAAGTTTTTTCATCTTTTCATCTCATTTATCTTTGTTAGAGCTTTTTCATGATCACAGCTAAGAGAAAAATATATGAGTAATATTTTTCTCGTCTTAAAATATCTACCATTTTCCTTTTTTATTTTTCTCTATTTTGATTATCCTTATTATGTTGCTTCATAAAGTCTATATTCATTTATTGCATGGCCTTGTTACCCAGGCTTTCATTCTCCTTCTTTCTCTTGCTGTCATAGTAACCTGTTTCAAATCCACTCAGATCTTTTCCTTTTGGAAATGTTGGGACTTTTTAGTTCCTGCTTCATTTTTATTTTATTTTTTACAAAATTTGGATATCTCTTTTTTTCAGCTCCCTGAGTTCTCTTCCATATAAATTTCTTTCATTAAAACAAATTTAATTATATATTCTCCAGGATGTATCTTCCTGACATGTCTACATGCCTACCCTTTAATTTTCAAGTTTAAATCCAAAATTTGAAACCAATAATTCATGCTCTGTCCACCATCTACATCAGGAAGTATTTTATCCTGGCTGACTTGATTGCACTTTTCCTGTTTTCCATTCCCGTACTACTTCTGTTTCCTGTTACGTTGTAAATGTGAATCCAAAATTGTTCACCTAATAATTTCATGTATAAAATATATTTATATTGCTTGAAGCAGGAAATACTAATAAATAAATAAGTATTTTTACAGAAATGTATTAGTTGCTCGCCTATATTACCTTATTTATACATTCTAAATATTCATGTAATTCCCTTTGATTATATTCAATCAGATCAATATTAGAATCCACATAGATATGGGTAAATTAATACAGGAATGATTTCTTCCCAATTTGACTCTTCAAGTGTACCCATTGCCTTTGAAAACTAATCCCTCCATCTTGCTGCTGATCACCCCCTTCTTGTTCCTTTCATATTTTATAGTATTAAAGATTTTTTTAATGGAACGGTTTTGCATAATATGTCAAAAGTATAATAATTTAAAACTGGTCTATTGTGTCTTGAATTATTCATCCATTGCTTCTTGTCCTGCCTACAGGACTTTGGTAAATAAGTTGACCCCCTTCTCTTTGTGACAATCTCTCAAATACCAGAATACTGCTATCATGTCACCCCTAATCCTTCTTTTCTCTAGACTAGCCAAACCCAAATCCTGTTTTAATCTCCAGGCCTTTAATCATTTTAGTTGCTCTTCTTTGCACTTTTTCCAAAGTCTCAGCATCTTTTTTATAATGGTGGTGACCAAAACTGGTGTGGCTTTATTAAGGCTTTATAAAGCGGTACTAGTACTTCATGTGATTTTGATTTTATGTTTCTGTTTATAAACCAATGATTCTTTTATAGCAGCTTTTTTGGCTGCTGTCACACACTGCTGGCTCATATTTAAGTGACTGTCCACCAGAACTCCAAATTCCCTCTCAAAGTTATTGTTTTTGAGCCAGGTTTCGCTTATCCTGTATTTGTACTTTTGGTTTTTCCTGCCTTAGTGTAAAATCTTGTTTTTCTCCGCATTAAATTTCATGTTGTTAGATAGGCCTCACTGTTCAAGTCTGTCAAAGTCTTTTTGGATCCTGAGTTTATCTTCTGGGGTGTTGGCTATTCCTGCCAGCTTAATGTTGTTAGAGTTTGCAGCAATCCAACCAGCACACAATTAAACAATTCAGCAGGATTCATTTATATAAGAAACTTTTTTATATACAATATCATACCGCAGAAGCCAGAACCAAACTCAGAATCCAGAAGTGCAGAATCAATAATCACAGAAGCTATATAATACAGAGGCACTCATATATATACAGATCAGCGAACCTAAACTATGCCCAATCTCCAAGCCATCTGGCTCACTAAACAGTCCCCATTGGCTGACCTGTTACCATGTCTATTCCAATTCATGAACTCTCTGACACACTGACAACTGTCATCTGCAAATTTAATGAGTTCCCCTTCAATTCCCTCATCTAAGTCATTTATGAAGATATTGAAGAGTACTGGGCCTAAGACGGAACCCTATGGCACCCCACTGTTTACTTCCCTCCATGTAGATGCAGTACCATTAAGGATGACTCATTGAGTATGGTTTGTTAGCCAGTTACAAATCCATCTGCTGGTGATGTTGTCTATCCCACATTTTTCTAACTTAACAAAAAGTATAAAATGTGTTAGAAAGCACTCGGAGGCGACTCGCAATGAACACAGCTCTTTTTTTATTCATAACTCAATTCGAACAGAACAGAACCAACGAGGAATGGCGATGGCAGCTCTTATATACTAAGAGCTCAGCTGCCTCAGCCAATTGTCAACAAGGAATCTCCCGCGTGCATGACGTCACACGGTGCAGCCAATAACAACAGTAACACTATAACTAAGCTCTGCTGGACAGAACACCCCCTCCCTCCTGGATCACGCAAGTGTAATCATCTAGGTACGGCGGGCATCTGCACGTCCGCCCAGATCGACGTAATTCTGGTCCAGCAACAGGTGCAGCCAAGTCGGACATTGATGGTGGAGAGGACAGTGTAACAGATGGAGTGTCCACTGGAACGGATCCATTGGTCTCGGCCTCAGGTAAGTTGGGCGACTGCTGGCTCCCTGTGGGGCCCCGCACCAAATCCTCAGGTGCTTGTGGACCTGGCGCAGGACACGATACGGACACCGGCGGTCCTGTTGGTAACGGCCTCCGGGCCTCCTCCTGGGTCTGGACTAACACGCGTCGCTGTAACTGGTCCACATGGCGCCGCCAGGTTCTGCCATCAACGAGCAGGACCCTGTAAGAACAGGGACCCGTTATTTGTAAGATCTGTCCCGGCACCCAACAGGGGTCGCCCCCATAGTTTCGTGCAAAAACCAGGTCCCCCTCTTTAAACACCCTAGGTGGCAAACATCCAGTTATGGGCCTGTCAGGTGCGTAGGAAGGGTGCAGGTGGTCTAGTGTTGTGCGTAAACGGCGGCCCATCAGCATCTCAGCAGGACTTCGATTGGTACTTGAGCATGGTGTTGTGTGCTGAGAAAACAGATAGGTGGAAACCCTTTCTTGCCACCCCCTCGGTCCCAGCCTTGCCAGCGCTTCTTTAGCCGACCTCACGGCCCTTTCTACTAAACCATTACTCGATGGACAATATGGGGCAATCTGGGCATGGTGAATTCCTAAACTAGCCAGGAATACTTGGAATGGGGCGGATGTCAGCTGTGGGCCGTTATCTGACACCAACACATCCGGAAGACCGTGTGTGGCAAATAATTTAGTTAAAACCCTTATGACGGCCTCCGAGGTGATGGACGGCATTATTTCGATCTCGACCCACCTGGAGTAGGCGTCCACCACAATAAGGAACTGGCGGCCCATAAAGGGGCCGGCGAAATCCAGATGGACCCGTGACCACAGAGCCCTCGGAAATTCCCACTCCCTGGGAGGAGTGGATGGTGCTGCTGGCCTTGACAGCTGGCAAGTTTGACATTTGGCTACCCAATCTGTTATATCCTGGTCGATTCCAGGCCACCACACGTAGCTGCGGCTAAGTCCTTTCATCCTAATAATACCCGGGTGGGCTTCGTGTAAACACCTCAAAATAGGGAGGTGCAACCCAGGGGGAATAACTACCCTCTGCCCCCACAAAAGGCAGCCCCGGTGGACAGAAAGTTCATGTTGCCTGAGCCGAAACGGCTTGAACCGTTCGGCTATTTGTCCTACCGGCCACCCCCTTGCCACCCAGTCCAGCACCTGAGCTAACACGGGATCCTCTGCTGAGTGGGCGGCAACATCAGTGGCAGATAAGGGAAGGGGTATCTCCTCTACCAGGAGAACTGAAGAGGCAGGTGCAGGATCCTCAACCGACAAGGGCAATGGACAACAACTCAATGCGTCAGCATGTGCAATCAGCTTCCCAGGGCGATAGGCCAAGGTATAATTGTATGCTGCTAAAAATTCAGCCCATCTAGACATCCTGGGGAAAAGAATCTAAGGGGTTTGCCGGTCCCCAGCCAAGAGCCCCAGAAGGAGCTTGTGGTCGGTGACCAACTCGAAGTTCCGGCCGTAGAGCTAATCGTGGAACTTCTTTACAGAAGCCACTGCGGCTAGGGCCTCCCTGT